AGAGAGAGAGAGAGAGAGAGAGAGAGAGAGAGAGAGAGAGAGAGAGAGATTTCAGGATGAATAGATGGGGGAAAATAGGGTCTGTCGCGAGCTCTGGGCTGGTCGCCGCATCCGCGCATACGCTGAGGATGAAATGTGGCGCGGCAGGTGACGCATGCACACAGGCACAGGTCCACCGAGGTATGTCGGTACTTACTGTTGAACACAGGTTCCGGAGGATCGTAGTCGGGGGTCGGCCAGTCGCTCATGGTGTTAAGAAGCGTCGTCGGGGGAACATCGCCACAAGCACTGCAATGCGAAAACAGGCAACGTTTAGTACAGTGACACGAAAGGAACCCACCGAGAAAAATGTTCGCAAAGACAAGTTTTCATGAACAAAGAAGTTTAGAATACTGCAAGTATTATAAGTAAAAAGGTCTCCGGAAAAACATGGAACGAATTAAAATCCGCATTGCATTATGCTCTTCGCTTTGACTGGCAAAATTTAGCTGTTGTAAAGTTAAAATTCGGTGCTGACAACTGCAAGAAAAGAGCAAAGTGTAACATTTTTTCAGAGGGTGTTCAAGAGGTTGCAAACCCGAGGGGTGGATAAGTCTCCTGCCAAGTGTACACCCCTAATTCTGACCAATTCAAACTAATTCAGACCAATTCAATTTAATTCAAACGAATTCGAAACTAATTCAACTAATTGAGTCCAATTCAAGACAGTTTATATTCAATTCAAGTCAATTCAAGCCAATTCACACTAATTCAGTAACATAAAATCGCAATAATTCAAACCAATTCAGTCCAATTCAAATTCAATTCAACCTAATTCAAGCTAATTCAAATTCAATTCTTGAATTCAGGAGTTATCCACCCCTCATGCAAACCAGTGCAAAATGTTTCTTACTACCGCCCCGTCCCTCGTTCCCCGCACACAAGCCGGTGGAACTCGCCCCGTCTCCCGTCTAGGTCTAGGTCACCATTAGCAGCCGGCTAGAGCGCGAAGAAGGGTAGGAGAGGATGCGCTGACAAGGAAACCAGCCGCACCAAGTAACCACCTCTCTTCCTCTTTTTCTTTTCACCTAGGAGGGAAGAGACGCTACAAATACAAACTCAAGAAAAGGAAACCAAAAAGGAAAGGAAAAAAATGCTCTTCTCGTCTCCGTCTTGGCGTGCAATGCGTGGGCGGGGCGGGCCGGACCGAGGGAACTAGTAGCAGCAGCAGCAACAGCAGGAGGAGGATGACGAAAAAAAAAGGACACTCCTCTTGATGGGCAGCGCAGAGGCCTTCATTGTAGCCGCGTGTAGCACTGCCCGGTGTTCTGTTCCGCGGCTGTTCCCGACTGGTAAATAATGAATAAGCGAGCCCTGGGCAGCCGTGCCGTGCCCCCCCCCCCTCCTCCAGTCCAGAGCGGCCCACAGCGGCGCACAGCGGCGCGGCCTCAGGGCCTTTACATGCATTACGCGGCAGGGCTGCTGCTCAAATAAACGAAACAACGTGAATGAACGCTGTCCGGCGTTATTTCTTTATAACGTTAACGTTTACACTGATCAACTAAGTGTTCGACTGCTCAACACTTGTAAGTGTGCAACTGTAAGCTGAATACTTGCAAATGTGCACTTGCGATTGTTTAACTCGGTAGGTGTGCACTTGTAACTGTGCAACTCCTCAGTTGAACACTTCCGTAGATTGAGCGTTCACTGTATAGCAAGTGCTCAACCGAAGAGTTGCACACTTGCAAGTGCACTCCTACCGAGTTGAACACCTTGCAAGTATTTAACTTCTAGTTGGTGACTTGCATGTGTTGAGCAGTTAAATACTTAGTTTATCAGTGTAAGTAATTTATGTAAATCAAAATGTCAGTTTTGTAGCAGTTGGTACGTTTGAATCTTTTATACCCGTTCTTTACCACTCACAACCCACTTCGTGTTGGGGAGAAAGAGTTGCTTTTTTCATGCGTCCGCATTTGCGAAGAAATTACTTCGTAGGCTCTGATGAAGAATGGCGAACGTCACAACCATAAACATTTCTATTATTGGTGCCTAAAGAGAGTCAAACGACAAACTCAATAGTGTAATTAATATCCTTTGTCTTGCGCGATCTAATTATGTACAGTGTAGGGTTTGCAGCGATTTTACTCTCATCCTTTCACTGTTTTTGCTTCAGCACTTGCCAGTATTCCTGCAGCGTAAAAACCTTTATAAGCTACTAATAAATAAATCAGTACAGGTCTGAGAGTGTTGCGGTGTGTTTAACACGGATATCATTTGTGGATTGCCTGGGCGCTCCCACCTACGATCGATGCTCCTGTTACGAGACCCTCAGCTGACTCTCACTCTCCGTCGACGAATCGATTACCTTGCGG